TCTCTCTCTCTCTCTCTCTCTCTCTCTCTCTCTCTCTCTCTCTCTCTCTCTCTCTCTCTCTCTCTCTCGAGAGAGAGAGAGAGAGAGAGCGCTGAGCGCTGAACTTGAGAGACGGAGCAGAGCTGAGCGCTGAACTTGAGACCGTGTCTCGGTCACGTCTCAAGTGCCTCTCACTTTTGTCAATTTTACTATCGACCGCTAAACAGTTTATTTTGATTTACCGCCTTCGGATTACACTGAAGATAAAAAAGTATCCCGAATTTCTCTCCGAGTTACGTGCGAGACTGCGCAATAGAGCAACGTTGAACTGAATTCAACATGTCAATTTTACCGTTCACTCCGCCGATCGTGAAGAGATTGCTGGGCTGGAAGAAGGGAGAGCAGAACGGACAGGAGGAGAAATGGTGCGAAAAAGCCGTCAAGAGTCTGGTGAAGAAGCTGAAGAAGACGGGACAGCTGGACGAGCTCGAGAAAGCCATCACAACTCAGAATATCAACACCAAGTGTATCACCATACCACGGTGAGTGCGGTAAAAAACATCCTCGACTTTACTGAGGGTGGTAAAGTGCTGTTTTACTGTCGTGATTTTAGCTGAGCGAGGCCGCATAGTCTTAAAAAACACCTTGGAAAGACAGTAAAGTTGAAGAAAGCAGCAAAGCCCATTCTGTTTAGTAATCAACTTCCTACATAATCATAAACAACATCTCCATACTATGAGTGCAGTAACTCGTATCTGTTTATATTATCAAATTCGGACACTCCTGTTGATTTACTGTAACTTCATACTCCTCTGTGCTTTCATAAACCCACATTTGCCTTGCCTGGGGTTGTCGTTTGGGTTGTGACGAGGTTATATAACCTGACCTTAATCTGGGGAACGCTGGAGCTGCTGTATCTGGGCTAAACGGTGTGTTAAGAATTCTGTGCTTATGTTTTGGATGGAGGGGTATATTTGGCGCAGGACGTTCAGGTCTTGTTCTTCCTAAGTGTGTGTGTTGCATCGGTGGATATGGGATGGAGGTTGTTGTCCTAGGCTGTTTTTTTCCTCTCAGTTTTGCTGTGACTGGTTAATCTTGTTATGTCACAGTCCGATGCTGGCCAACTGCTCACTGGTCTTGTCCCTACGAGCCACACTAGGGTTGTCTACAAGCCCTTAGACTCAGCAGATCTTCAGTCTCAGCACTTCAGTACAGAGAAACATGGCATAGGCACTGGTTCTGTCATCCTATTCTGCTGATGTATTCAAACATTGTGCGAATTGAGAACTCATTTGTAGACGTCACTGAAGTTTTGTTGTAAATTATGCTTTTTGTTGCTGTAAGATGTTTTCTTATAGACAGACTTTCCCGGCATAGGGTTTGAGTAGTAGATAAAATTAAAATTACAATAAATTGAGCAAAAGTGACATTTATAATGTTACAAAAAATTATATTTTAAATAAATGCTGCTCTTTTGAACTTTCGATTCTTTAAAGTGGTCTGAAAACAAATGTATCACGGTTTCCCCAAAAATATTAAGCAACTTTTTTTTAACATTGATAATAGTAAGATGTTTCTTAAGCACGAAATTAGCATATTAGAATGATTTCTGGAGAGATCATGTGACACTGAAGACTGGAGTAATGGCTGCTGAAACTTCCACTTTGCCATCACAGGATTAAATTACGTATTATAATGCATTAAAGTAGAAAACATTTATTGTAAAACATAAAAAAAATTCCAACCCCAAACTTTTAAACAATGACATATTGTCATTATATTGGTCAGTAGTTATCATGATCTCTACATATTGTATCCAGTGTTTGCATTAACCAAACATTTTATTATCAAATCTCGAAAATACTGATGGAAATTTCAAAATGGTTTTGTCAGTCTGGTAAAGTAAAAATAATTAAACTATTACACATCCCTATTAGAATTCCCACAGTAAATCATGCTAATATAGTGACGAAAAGGGAAGAAAGCAAGAAAGTGAAATAATTAATGGGATGTTGGTTTTTAAATCGTGTCACCAGAACGCAGTGTCTGTTGTCTTTTTCACATTATAAGATTAGAATAAAAAGGTAAGAGTGTTTGGAAAGACTAAAAGAGCTCTTGACAGAAAAGCTTTTTGTGATATCATTGTCACATTAAGCAATGCTAGATTTCACTGATGGAAAATAACTAGAGCATGATGGAAATTTACTTCCAAGTCAGTCAAATTGATGGATAATGATTAGCCTATTTGTAAAGCAACCTCTGATCGTATTGCCATTGAAAACCTCATATTGGTTTAGATCGCAATTCAACAAATTCACTGTTTTTTTCTTTATAGTTTATAGACAATAAAGACATATCATTGTATATACTGTAAAGGTAAAGGCCACAAAATCTCTCCTATCTGCAGTCTTCAGCCTTATAATCACAGGTAGCTCTCTGCAAGGATCGCGGAACAAACCAAAAGGAGGGGGGGGGATTGGGTTGCAGAACTAATTTTAATATTAGAAACAGTAGTAATATTACCTATAAAATAATAAATATATGACCTACTAATGGTATTAGTTAGTTGCCACTTATATTAGCCTATGTATTAAGCTATGATTCTCCCACGATTCTGAAAACAAAACAGACAACCAAACGAAATGTGTAATTTTCTTGAGTTTCTGACAAAATGTTTTATTAATGTTATAGTAAATGAGTCTATTTAAAAATATTTATTAATTTAAACGAATTACCCTAATTATGTAAAAAAAAAAAATATTTTAAATGAATGAAGATAAATGAAGACTTGTTTCGTTTTGAATCTCTTGAATGAATGATTCAGACATCAAATACATTTAAAGGGTTAGTTCACCCAAAAGTGAAAGCAGGTTTAAATATTCCGATGTGATTGTGATTTCAAAGGTTTAATAGACATAGCAGAATCACTGTCATTTAGGAATAAGATCGCGTGTGTTTGAATCAAGATCGCGATCTTTTAATGATTAAACGTGCGTACATAGGCTATATAAGGCTCATATGTATTTTTCTAGCCCATGTCATATTTGTACCAGACCTCAAAAGTGAGCCATGGCTCTCTGAAATGGAACCAGATGCTACAGAATTACTATGCTGGTAAACCTCATAGGAGAGTTTATTCATGAGCTGTATTCTCATTGTCATTGTCTTGACTCTTGACACATTTGGGTTGCTTGACTACATTTACTATATTATTTGCTAAACTGGGTTGGCTAACGGAATGTAATAAAAAAAAAAACTAGAAGACACAACTGTAACCTTACAAGTAAAAATAGAGTCCCTTTGAGATTTCCTTTCCAAATTTGACATTTCCATAATTGTGTGGTGGTGTTACAGGGCCGTGCAGCTGCGGTCCAAGCCTGCAGCACTGTTGTATTGGTTGTTGTTTCCAAACAACAGATAGTTCAGTGAAAGCAGGGCTCTCAGCCAGAGATCAGACTGAGTCACCCCGGAGGGAAAGGGAGTTTGAGCCTGTGGCTTTGTGGTGTGACCCACTGGTGCTTCTCTGGTAGAGCTCGGTGGTGACAGAAACCATAACAAATGAAGACTTCAACTATTGGGATGTGTGTACAGTTTAACTCGGATTGACTGGTTTGGTGCTTTATACTTTAGTTTTTTTCCTTGTTGTTAGAGTAGTGTAACCTGAATCAACACTGCGTCCAGTCCAATGCTCTATTCTTGGCCAGATCTGTAGATGGTATAGCCTTCACATCTGTGATACAACACTCTGCCTCACCCTCCTGGAGGATCCAGATTCCTCAGACACACTCGACACGCTTCAGGCCACACAATCCTGTCTTGCCCTCACATGCAGCTCACGCTGGAATCCTGTCCCAGCCTGCTGGAGATCCAGAGAAAGACAGATAAAGGCATAGATTGAGTTAAAGAGGACACTGAGTTCAAATGATGCAGTGGAAAGAGGAGATGGAAGACAGATTGAAATTGTCCAAGGCAGGATGCAAAAAACATAATTATACCATGGTCACACTTCCCTTCACCTGCCGTACACCTGTCGAAGACCTATCAGAGTGTCCACATAGACTTCCTGAGAGGATGTCTGCTCCACAGTGTGTCTGTGTTCTGGGATGCCTGCTATTTCTCAACCCTGCAGTCTTTGTTTGCTTTTGCACTCTACGTACAATGACTTCAAAAGCATCTGAACTGTGAATAAAACCTGTGGTCCATTGTGTAGGCGCATTCAGCCAGATTCTCAAACAAGTCACCTATCAGCTAGGAAATAGTATGTGCTCTGCTGCGGCGATAGAGTTTATTGTTGGCATTTGAAAGTGTCTGCGCCTTGAAGAGATGTCTGGCTTTAAGTCTGACATCCTGAAACTCTATACAGTATACAGTGATTCAAAAGCGCTTTGATAAAACATTGAGATTGGATGTCATTGGCTTGTAATTGATGTGCCGAGGGTTGTTTTGTTTCAGCCGGGGTAATGCCTTCAAAGCGCCGCGTGTCTGAGGGAAGTGAATCTGTCTGATGATTCAGAGTTATTGTGTGGCAGCTGATGGAAAGAGAGTGAAAGACAGCATGACAGAATTTCACAACCCTTTGAAGTGATGGCTGAAAGTAACAGTAAAGACACTATGTGAGCACCATTGGCCTCAGACCTGTCATAGTCTTTTAACATTTTTATCTAAAGCAACTTGCTGCACTCTTATTACCGGGACTGTCCTGGAGCAACCTGCGGTTAGGCGTATTAGTCATGATTCATGGTAGGGGTATGTAAAACTACATATTTTTAGTATTGATTAGTTTGTGGGTTGAGTGAATGACTAGCCCTGAGGCCTAATAGTCTGGTTTTGGTTTCACCTGATCCTGAATGCACTGAGTGCAACTGAATGTAACAGTGTACAGGAGACCAGACACACTTTTTAAAATGTATTTTTAAAAATGCAACTTGTGGTGGGGCTCTGTGACACAGAACAGCCTGAGACACAACGCAACGGCCAAAGACGTCTGTCTGAATGTGTATGGCTGTAGCGGCAGTGCTTAATAGCATTAGTGCAGCTCAAACAGTAAAACATGATGCTAGCAATGCCAAGGTCATGATTTCAGCTTCCAGGGTATGTGTGAACTGATCAATTGTATACCTTAAAATGCAGTGTAAGTCACTTTGGATAAAAGGCATTTACATAAATATAAATGGATGTAAAACGCAAAACTTGAAAAGTTCTCGAAAAGTTCTTACCATGCAATTAACTAAAGCACAATGAATTAAAGCTCAGCTGCTATAATATAAAACTAGACTAGAAAAAGTAGTCAACTCCCTAACAGATGGTTGACTGGTCGTCTAACACAGTGTTTCCCAACCTTTTTTTAGTCGCGGCACCCTTTGGTAATGTAGGTTTTTATACATATGTAAACATTATTTAATTACCATTATAACTAGCTATCTCACAAATTTTTGCTCACTCAGTGTTTTTTTTATTTTACAGTGGGGTAATTTTGGTGCAGTAGCACGAGATAGCTTGATTTCAAACTTTGAATTGAATAAAAAATGACAAGTAAGCAGTC